CATTTTCAAAGTGCTCTGAAATTGTTTGAGTTATAAAGAGCTATTTTAATTTAAAATTTTTAATTTTTTTTTTTAGTTTTTCTTCTTCTTATCTTCGGTAAATCTCAGATTAGTCTATTTTCGCTTTCCATAAGCGTCTCTTTGTAGTCTAACTTAATCAGTCCTCGTTCGTCCCCTTTCCACGCATCCTTCGATTATTGTTTTTAATAGACTTTCATGTGCATCAAATATTTTAGTTTGTGTGGATATAATTCACGTGATTGGTTTATATTTATATTGTAGCTACGAATAACAGTAATCGAAAAATGTTTTAATTAAACTCCACGCAGAATCATTGTTCGTTGCGTACGGTATACACAATTATACAATTAATATGGCACTCTATATTATATTTTATATACCATACCAACTTTTCACCTACAATAGCGGCCTACCCAAGATGCGAAATATGTGTCCGGCTTTTTTTTTTATTATTATTATTCGACCGTTTGCGCTCGAATTATTGTATCTTTCGACGACACTAGTTTTTGTCATTTATATATTTTTATTTTTTTTTTTTCTCGGAACATTATTCACCGCACAACCCGCGTCCGTGCCACAAACAGAAGCAACGATATTATTGATAAACCATGTAATCCGATTCGTTAAAGCCATCAACTTTTACTTTGCACATTATTATTATTATTTTTTTTTTTTACTCGCCATTCGTGTTCAAATTTTAACTATTATTATTCAAACGTAATTCGTATAAAAAAAACTATTCTATTTATAATACTATAATACGAGTATAATAGATAATATTGATCTAGTTTCATTTGAAATAATCAATAGGTATGATGATAATAAAGCTATCTAATCTCTAAATACATTATCAATTCATACAAAATACATTAATTATTACATACATATCTACAGTTCGTTTTGCTTAGAAAATTATACTAACGTTAACATGCAGTTTTGTTAATATAAGACAATCGTTATATTTTGTGGAAACGGTATTTTAAATATATCAATAGTCGACATTTTTATATATAAATATGTATACATGTAACACAATATTGTATATATTATATGAATCCGAAATAGCGAAATTCCACTTTTTTTTTTTTAATAAATTATGAAATGATTTTCCTGTAATATTAGTTCAGTAGGTATAATAATATAACCAAGAGCTAAAACCCTTAAATATAATGTCTATTGTATAGCATACGTCGTTTTTCGCAAAATAAATAAAAGTAGCTTGTAAGACGTCGGTATGGGTACATACTTTATGTTTTGACCGGTTTGTATTTATTATTACTATTTCTCATTAAATAATTTATCATACGCATTATATTAAAAGTTTGAAGTATCGCATGAGTACCTAATATAATATGTACACAAATGATAAAAAAATAAAAAGAAAAAAAAAGACATTTATTTGACCTCGTCATCGTCATTGTCACCACTGCCATAATATAGTCGCTATGAGAAAATCGAAATAATCTACTTTGAAATGAATCAAAACGTTTTTCGCATTAGTTTTTTTTTCGTACACATTTTTCAACTGTCGTGATATAATAATCCGATATTCCGTTGAAAATAATTATGAAGCACTTCAAACACGGCTATTTATACATCAAGTATATTGTAATGCATTTAAATAAATAATTGTTAAAATATTTAAGAAAATTAGAAACTGTTATGTCCTACACAAAGTGAAGGACTCACATACAATAGAAATATTTAGTTTTACAACTATATTAAAGGACGTAGATGTCAAAAGTTTTACTGTACATTGTTATAGTTTATCTTACCTATACCTATTCACATCTTAAAAATCATAGATATTAATTATTATAGGTAAATATAAAAAAATAAAAAAAAAACATGAAATAGGTACAAACATATTAAATAGATGTTTAGGTCAAAATCTCCAAATGCGTTGCGTGTTGTAACGTCTATTCAGTCGCTTATATTGTATTTTTATTTCGTAGGTATATGTTATTAAAATTATATGATTTAAAAGAAATGCTTGAAAATTTAACACAAAGTTCATTGTAAGTCGTACTTAGTGGTTTAAATAACAAATTTGAGTTTAATGTATTTGTTATTTTTTTCACAAGCGTTTTATAATTCAATTTTAGCGAAAATCATAAAAATTATGGCATCTCAAACTATGTCTTACCGGACTTTACTACAAATTGTTTTTCATTATCAATGGTTTATCTTTGCGTATATATATAAATTAAATAACTTTATGTACCTATCCTATTTTCTCAACTTCCCACCTACAACAGTGGCTGTCAGTATCAGCTTTTTTTTTTATTATTATACGAGCAGTAGACCACCGAAAATTTCTCGGTATCCCGCCAACCCAGTCTTTCCCGGGAGGTAGCGTATTATAATTCGGTCTGTGTAAGAATAAAAAAAGTAAAAATAAACCATAAAATCGATAAAAATACGATAAAACTCATTAAAAAAGGGGGAAAAAATGACAAAAAGTTTTAAAACTTATAAATGTTTACGTATTTCAAACTTTATCCCGAGAAAATTATATGCGTCATACAATAAGCTTAAAAAAAACCCCATAAACCACAATTTACCAACAACATAGTAATGATCCTGAATGCTGGATTTATATTTTGTTTGACGCAACTGCGATATGATTATTTATCTTGGTCCACACGATTATAGCTACTATGTGATAGTTACTATTATGAATTATTGTGAAAGCAACTTTCAAGCTGTCGTGCATACGTGATACCTGAAAGATTAGTGTCAACCTGATCAATTTCGGGGACCGGTGCAGAATTTTGCGAAACCCCATATATATTTATATATTTTATTTTCTAACGGACTTACTTTATTTTTATATAATTTTAAAAACTATTAGGTCTTCTTAGACCTAATTATAATTATCTTAGAACTATTAGAAATCTAAATTTGTACCTATACAGGGTGACTTTTTTTTTATCAAAAAACACTCATTATTTTAAAAAATATTGACTTTTTTTTGAAAACTTAAAAAATAAATAGTTATAAAATGTTATGCTATCATTTTGTTTTGTATCCCTTATTTTTGGGGGTGAAATGACTGCATAGTTTTGATTTTTAAATGGCTAACTATTTTGAAAATGCCCTAGATAGATGGAATATTATTTAAAATAAATTTTGGTGTTGAAATTTTTAATTTCCTCAACCTTTTTACGAGATATTCCACTTTTTAGTTTGGGTTGGAGGAGAGTAATGGTGCATTATTAATACGCCACTCGCCGTACCGCCACACAAATGAAAAAAACAATTTTTTTCGTGCTTTTTTTGATGTAAACGGGACAATTATCTCATTGTAGCTCAACAAATTGGTAGTACTATGTTAGATGCTGGTAAGATATGTTTGAGTGTTTTCAAGCCACTAATAATGTGTTTAACTATGTATAATTGGTACTATCTTGATTTTCGTCGATAACAACTAGTGTTCTAAAAGAACCACACGGTCACACGGTAGCAATTTGCGTACAATTGAAACAATATTATTATGATTATTTGTAGATAAAGTGATATTCAAACACGGGGCCCGTTGCGGCCACACCACTTTCCCCCCCCCCTAGGACCTGCACTATGATCGATATTATTGTTAAATTATGAAACATTAAGTTTATCCAATAAAAATTTAAACTAGTAAAGTTAATAAGAAAATGAAAAAAATAATTAAATACAGTTGTTAATTTATAAAGTTTTAAACAAAATTAATTTTTAACTAGTTAATGCACATATTTGATAATATATCATTGTGTGGATAATATTGCCCTCGTGAAAAGTTGCAACATTATGAGTGTAGATAAATACTCTACACCGTATCGCGTCAAAACGATGTATGTTATTATTTTTTTAAATTGATCGCATTGGGAGCCACAGCCGGGATATTTACGTAATAGTAGGGGACATTTCGTCCAGCGTTGATAATTTCGATTTGTATAATATTTTGTTCGCGCGTTCGAGAGAAAATTATTTGCGTGAGTCGATTAATTTGTCAACGTCAAATTCGTTAAAAAAAAGTTTTTTTTAAAGTGTTATATACCTATACCTATATTAATATACCTTGTTAATTATTACTTTTCGTCGTACATTAACTATAATGTATTAAAAAAAAAAAACAAATTTCGCACAAAAATAACGATAGAAAATATGTACAACATACTTCAGTTTTCGCAAGGGCGTCAATCTTCGAAAATCCAAGAGAGGGGGACACTGTATTTTTTCAATAATATTTCCTAATCACCTATGCTATTTTTATTTTTCAATTATTTTATTAACAACCAATGAGAAACCACTAGTAAAAAATATCATACTATATACGAGGGTTGTCCCAAAAGTAATGCACAGCGCGCTCTAGCTGTCTTGCAATGTGATATTATCAGCTGATTTTAGTATCAGTTTGTAGCTTGAAGTCTAACGAACACGTGTGTTTTCAGTTTTAGTTGTTTTAGTAAAGTATGATGATGTGTGAGAGCGATAACGAAAGTGAGAACAATTCGTCGGCTCACATTTCTGTTTTTGGGCAACGCGCATACATTAAAATCGAAACGATTCGTGGTAAAACAGTGCCTGAAATTCATGTCGCGTTAAATGAAGTGTGTGAACGGATACTGTGGATCGTAATACGGTGCAAAGATGGCATCAGCGATTCCGTGATGGTCGTATAAGTATTGATAACAACCCTCGCTCTGGCCGACCCTCTACGGTTACTCAAGACAACACTAACGCGGCTATTCTCGCAACTTTACTTGATGAAGACCGACGAATAGCGGTGAGAGAGATAGAGAATGAAACAGGTATTTCAAAATCAAATGTTCACCGCATTTTAACGGAAATTCTACAGAAACGAAAGATTGTAGCACGTTGAGTGCCTCATTTTCTGTCACCGGAATAGNGAATTAAAATCTCAAAGCAATATTTGGAAGGGAATAACATCACCAAGAGCAAAAATAGTTCGTCGCCAGCAAACAAAGGTGAAACAAATGATGATTTTTGCTTACGATAAACTTGGGATAATTGTCACTGATCGAGTTCCAATTGGCAGTAGTGTAACCGGGAATTACTATAAAATATTCCTTGCCAAAAAATTGCCACCGGAAATCCGTAAAAAGCGACCAGGAATGTTACAAAATGGTGTGTCCATATTGCACGATAATGCGCGGCCGCATATCGGAGCACCAGTCGTCGCTCTTTTGGAGAAACATGGATGGGAACGCCTCAAACACCCACCGTATTCGCCGGATTTAAGTCCTCCGGACTTTGATTTATTTCCAAAACTGAAGGAACCACTTAGAGGGATCCGTTTTCCCAACTTAGATATACTAAATGAAGAAGTGAGCCGAAGGATCCGTGGACTCAACAAAGATGGCGTCCTATGCGGCATTCAAGCGCTCCCGAATCGATGGCAATCGTGTATAGACAAGCAGGGAGATTATATCGAAGGTCTATAATATTGTATTTAGTTTAAAATAAAAACTTATTTATTCAGAGCAAATTGTGCATTACTTTTGGGACAACCCTCGTATATTATATATTATATGAGCATCAAATTTTTATTTATTCAATATATTTAATTTAAATTACAATATTTAATGTATATTGTTATATAATGTTATGGGTGGATATGTACCCTCCATGCCCCCCTTCCATTGGACTTCCGTGAGTGTTCGGATTTATTTAGATAACTATTCATTGATCTTTTATTATATCTAGATTAATAACTTTAAAGTTATTTAAATAATAGATATCTAAATATTTATCTAAATATTTAATTTATCTTTTTTTTTTTTAATATTAAATTACAAGAATTATTATTTAAATGAAAATATTTTTATTTTTATTTTTATTATCTTTTAAACAGATTAGTGTTATTATTAATTATTAAAATACGAGTATATAGTAAAGATAGGTATTAATAAGTTAATAAATAAGTCACGCCGTTTAATTAAGTTTATTTCAAGCCTTTAGCTTAGGTTAAAGTTTATTTTTCAATAACTTAGTCATTTTATTGACTTAATTTCAATAATTCTAAATTGTAAACAACTTAAATTTATGTACTATCTAATAATGACTAGGTTGTCTAGGTAAGATTAAAATTAATTTAAAACCAAATTCATACATTTAATTAGTAGGCCTCAGCTTTGTTTTATCTTTTATATTAATTTAGATGAATTTCCATGAACCATCTTTTATTTTTATCTAGATAATTTTTTAGTTATCTTATTGAAACACTGATCAATTTACGCAAAATAAGTTTCTATTTCAACAGCCTATCTTGGTATCCTTTTAGATTTTGTGTGAAGTGAGGATTATATTGATTTTACTATGATGAGTGTTATTTTTTCTGTAACTAATTTTTTCTTCTAGTAATCTTGCTTCAATCAAATATTGTATAGGAGCTTTCTTGTAGAATTTTAGATCAGTTGGTGCATTGGAACATTCTCTTATTTTCTTCATAGTATTTTCAATAATTGGGAAAAACGCAAGAAAATGGGAAATTTGTTGTTTATTTTTTGTTTATCATTAGGTTACCTTGAAATTATGAGAAAAAACCCCAAATAACCACCCTAATTGGGATACAATAATTAATAAAATTGTGCACGTAGGTCGTAGGTCATAAAATACAAACAGAATTATTACATATTGCGAGAGGATCTCGTAAACTAACCGAAGTGTCTACTAACGGATTTTGTGGAATATATTCATTATCAGAAAAGTTAGGAAACGAAAAAATAGACACAGTCGCGGATTTATTAAATATTAAATTAATACAGAGACCAGTTTGGTTAGAAGCGGAAGACTAATAATAATTTTTCTGTTTTAAATTTTTTAATAATTTGATCCAATTATGAAAAATCAAAATATATTTGGGGAATAGCTTTTTATAAACCAGGTAGATAATTCGTAGTAGCATTTTTCGAGAATGGTCATTGGATACCAGAGTGTTGCATTCCAAACACATTTAATTTAAAAATAGATAGTGTTACATATATGTACATATGATTTTCGTTCAATATAAATATCTCGAAAATTCTTAGAAAAACGATCAAAGCATAATTTAAAGCAAGAACCGGATAATTTCCTGGTTAGAAAAGTTAACTACTCCATTCAGAAGTGCTTTTCTTTTGTAATTATTTACCATTGCATACAGTAAATTAACTTAATTAATCTGTATATTCTACCTTCCCAACTACTCATCTATAACATGGGCATTTTCGTGAGCTGCAGTCAACTTTTTCCCTCTCTGAGATTATCTGTAGAAGTTCACCATAATAGTTTGCTTATAAAAGTATGAATGTAAATACGACCATATTACGATTATAAAATATAATTACGTTATTTTAGACATATTTAATAATTAGCTTTATATTGATCGACTATTCGTTTGTACGTTAGAATTCCCGTTCTAGTCTGATATTAAATAAGCAAGTCAAGTTGCCAAGCTTCTATTGATTGATTATACACAAGTGCACGAAGCAATTGAATAGGCAAGTGTTGTTACAGAACTCTATTAATCGGCATTAACTAAATAGTTTTAAGCAAACATTACAATAGTTTTTACTAATGTCTTAATTCATTTTGATGCGAATAGCTCGAAAATCTTAATCGATTATTTACACTAGCTTTGTGTGATCTGAGGTTTTAGGTCGTTTTCGGGTTATTTTCTAATCGTGAATTAAAAATCAGCATTTTCAAAATAATAATTCAACATCCACAGTTATAAATTGAAAGCAATATTACGACGACCCATCTAATTTCGACTAATGATCCTTCGAGTCAAATGACAATAATAATAATTAATACGATAACCTCACGTAGGAGTGTGTATCGTTTTTGAAACGAAATAAAAAAGGAAAGGGTGAGGGGAAATAATCGAAAAAAAAAATAGAAATATTTCGCTTGACGAAAAATACATTATATGAGAATATAGAATTGCGGTGCGTTTCCGATTATTGCTGTATCGGCTATAAAAAAAAAAAAAAATAATAATAATAAAAAAAAACCGCTTCAAAAGCAAAATAAGGAAAAATGAATAATGGAGTTGTGGACGCGAACACGAATACCGGCGAATGCTTTCTAGTAAACGGTCCGGAACAAGAGCGAAAAAAAATTCAGACGATACCCCGAAACGTGCGTTTATACTCGTGAATATAATATTAAACTAGAGTACCTAGTTGAAATTCATATAATAGACACAATTTATTGTGTGAACGAAATATTGGGTTTGTGCACACGAATAGATTATCAGATGATATTTGATAATGATAACGATACGATCGTATTGAGTGGTATTGTTTTTTTTGTTTTGAAAATTATTTTTAAATATTAAATATCGTTTTTTCATGCAATCCACTCGTTTGCATGTTTTGGTTCCGTCGAATAAATAAACATAAATCGTATACAATCACGTAAATTAAATTTATAATCAATATACGATTAAACATTGTCGAATAAATTCTTAATTCACTATAGGAATCAAGATATTTTTCTAGTCAAAACTTTTACTCCCGTCAACAAATCAATAAATATCAGCTAACATATCTGCTCAGCGAATAGTTAAATTCGTTTTCGTTGATGATCCGCTAACTTTTTTTAAAAAATAAGAACATTTGGTTTCGGAATAATGTTTCACGATGACGGCTGATAGAAAAATTTTCTGCTCAACGATCACAACTCAGAATTATTTAATTTCAACGTAGAAAAAAAACCATTAAGAGTGATAATTTTAGATAGGTAGACAGTGGATATTTGGAAATCGTTTGGGAATGTTTTTCGAGGATAGGTTATTAAACTGAAAAGTTTTCCATTTTTCCTATGTCAAAACGTTATTTTTAAACGGTTTTTTGTAACTAAAAACCATTTTTAATGACAATCTTTTTATCCGGTAGAACTACTTTTTCGACTGTACTATAGTAGTTATATTTACTTTATGTGTATTGTTTGTAATTGTACGAGTGTTCAAATAAAATGTACAAAGTCAATAATAATAAAAAAAACCGCGTAAACTATAAAATAATAATTAATTTCATCCCGAGTTGAAAAATAAAATGTTTTCGTAAAGGATTTTACGCGAGAATGTTATGACCGTATAAACTGCGAGAATATGTAATATTTTAACTTTTAAATTGAAGATAAAGAAAAATTAAAAGATATTTTCGAGGAATAGTGTCACCGTATTGAGGAAAATATCATCATGCATTTAAGCATTTAATTTTTTACTTTTTATGTGTAATTATTAGTGTACTTCCCGCTTTCGCTTATTTGGTTTAAAACAAATTTTCTTTGGAGATCCAAATAATTTTCAAAATTGTTTGTCATTAATGTAAACGCTGCGGCAATGCACGTAGTGTCCGTAATTTGATTATTTTTAGCAGTCCTAATGTGTCCAAGTTATAGAATCAATTTTAAGTTGTTTGGTTTTAGGCCCTTATATTTTCATAATATTTGTATATTTATGTGTTACATATTTAGGAACAGCTAACAGCCAAGAGTCGCCTACTCTTATTCTCCCCCTCTGGCTTCAGATCTACTACTCTATATTCCCTTATATCTCTCTAATGGCCTCTTACCTCTAGTCCTTTTTTCCGGTGCTTAAATACCTCATACTCGGCTTTACTATAACAATATATCGTAATGTCATCATCTCCTATACTGTTACTGCACTCGAATTTTTAGCAATCGTACGTATCGCTCGGATAAAATCAAATCAAATTTTCTTTATGGTTTTTGTTTTGTGTTCGCCTCTGTTTAGACGTTTAGAAGACTGGCAGGTACGTCTTCTGTGAAATCTAGAATAATACTACGGTGGGGACAGCACGTGAATTCGTTTGCTTCGTTATCTTTCTAATTAAAGTTATAAGTTTAATTTTTATGCAGTTATTTTCAATTTAACAATATTAATTAATCAGTGAACCAAGCAGTTCGGAAGCCTATTGTTATTTGTTATTTAATCACACTACCGCTGTTATTGCCGTAAGCCACTTCCAAGGTATATTAATTTACTTTATTATACTTTCGTCTTATCGCCGTATGCACATGTTATTATTATTTTTATATTATACCTGTACTATCGAATAAAATTTTCTTAATCGGACGTATTCTACCAGCATCGGCATCAACAAACGTAATTATTATTTATCAACCCTACTCTGCCATATACACATAGTATCTATAATTATTTCAACCTTATCAAATCTAATTAATGCCATCAATTCGCCACATTTGTAAACTTGGCATTTCTCGACTATCTTCTTCTGTCAGCTGTTCGTTTTGTTTCTCCTGCTATCATTAAACTTGCCTAGACTTATCAATCGAGTCATTTTATGTATACAATAAGCCAAGCAATAATTGGATTTGCTATAAGCATTTTACTAATAACCAATAGCAGCGTCAATACTGCAAAACAATCTAAAAAGCAATTAACTATTGAGAATTTAGCCAAATTGATTAA